AGGAACTTCTTTACTTTGAGGGTAGTGGAGCACTGGAACAGGCTGCCCAGAGAGGTGGTGGAGTCTCCCACTCTGGAGACATCCCAAACCCGCCTGGACGCCGTCCTGTGCAACGTGCTGTAGGTGCCCCTGCTCTGGCAGGGGGGGGTGGACTGGATGATCTCCAGAGGTCCCTTCCAACCCTGACCAGTCTGTGATTCTGTGAATTCATGCTGTGACTGCAGGGAGGAGGTGGCCTTCATTTATTAGCACATCTTTTCACGCGGAGACAAGGAAAGAAGGGACTCATGACAAGGGAAGGAATAAGGTTACCGGAAATTTCAAGCTCAGAAGCGTTTTATCTGGTGTAACTTTCTTGTAGTAGTTTGGCACCGAGCTTAAACGTGCAGCTTTAAAACACTCCAGATGGGTCTGCGGGTTCACGCCGCTGTGTTACGGTACCTTGCAGGACAGAGGTAGAGGCGGAGGCCATCAGGAAAACGCTGTACATAATGTTTAGTTATTTAGCGGTTTGGTTTTTTTCCTCAGCTCGGGCTCTCTCCGCGTGTCATCCAGCGGGATTGCCAAATTGGGATTTTATTTTTTTTTTATTTTATTTTTTTTTCCTGATCTTTGTGCCATAGTCTAAAGACATGACCGGGAAGAACGCTCTCACACGGAACTAGGCTTCTGAATTTCCCATGCCCCTTACCTTGGGTTTCACGATTACCCGCCTGTGAGAGCAGCCGCAAGCTCAGCAAACCAGTTCAGGTACCCGGCTGACTGGGGGAGGCGGGAGGCTGCATCGGGGCCTGAAGGTAACTTTAGTAACGTCTCCAAAACTTTAGCTTTTTTTTTTTTTTAGGATGCCGGCTCCCATGGTAGCAGGCTTTATATAGTTTACATACCTGTAACAATTTATGATTATTTTACTGTTGGTTGAAAAGCTTGGGAAACCAACGTGCAGATACACTGTCTGATCTGAAAAAGAATTAAGCCGGTTTCCGTATTAATACAGAGGGTGGTAAAAATCTACAAGAATCAAGAGGAATTATCATTTAAACATAAGGAGTTAAAAGGGAAAAAAAAAAAAAAAAAAAGGAGGTAATAAGCAGCCAAAATGGGGAAAAAAAGCTGAAATGGATTTCTTACGCTTATTCCATATTGTATAAACATACACCATTTCGGATAGACGCGTAGAAATTCATAAATGAATGCTGTATGTATACTTCTTTTGTCTGCTCTTAGGAGTGAAGCAGATCCAGTGATTGGTGAGTCCCCAAATGAACTGTAACGATCAACAGAGTTGTCCTCAGGTAGATGATACAGAGAGAGATTATCTGACTCCAGAGAGGAAGGGAGGCGATACGGATATATATTATTATAAATATGCTTAGCCCTATTTTGGGTAATTCTGACTCGCATCATTCTCTACCTCCGCAGCCTTTCCCAACGCTACCTGCTCCAGCCTCACTCTGTAACAGACAAGTTAGAAATTTAATTATTTCCGTAGTTACAGATTACCTTAACATTTGAGAATTTTGCTGTATTTATGTTTGTAGAATTTTATCTTGCTCAGCGTGGTGCATTCAGTGTAAAAGTACGTTCCTGACCAGAACTAGAATGACTCATCTCTTTTCGTGACATGTTGATTACCAGATGTTGCAGGTGTATACAAATAACGCAGAAGAACTAACTCAGTTCGTAATAACAAAAGCCATTTTAAGAATAAAAAGTTGGTGGCACAGCCCATCACGTCTCAGTCTGAGACGAGGTTCACAGAGGGTCACAGAATGGTTCAGGTTGGAAAGGACCTTGAAGATCATCGAGTTCCAACCCCCCTGCCATGGGCAGGGACACCTCCCACCAGCCCAGGTTGCCCAAGGCCACCTCCAGCCTGGCCTTCAACACCTCCAGGGATGGGGCCTCAACAACCTCTCTGGGCAACCTGTCCCAGTGCCTCACCACCCTCAGAGTGAACAACTTCTTCCTAATGTTTAATCTAAACCTGCCCTCTTCCAGTTTACAGCCATTCCCCCTCATCCTGTCACTCCATGCCCCAGTAAAAAGTCCTTCCTCCGCTCTCCTGTAGGCCCCCTCGTCTTCTGCTGCCCCCTTGTCCACGCAGCCAACCTTCTCTTTGGAGAAGGCAATCAGACTGGGTCAGACCCCCCTCGACCTACTGGCCACACTCTTCCTAATGTTTAATCTAAACCTGCCCTCTTCCAGTTTATAGCCATTCCCCCTCGTCCTGTCACTCCATGCCCCAGTAAAAAGTCCCTCCCCAGCTCTCCTGGAGCCCCTTTAGGCACTGGAAGGCGGCAATAAGATCTCCCCAGAGCCTTCTCTTCTCCAGGCTGAACAGCCCCAACTCCCTCAGCCTCTCCTCATCGCAGAGGTGCTCCAGCCCTCGGATCATCCCGGTGGCTCTCCTCTGGACACCCTCCAGCAGGTCCATGTCCTTCTTATGTTGGGGACTCCAGAGCTGGAGGCAGTACTCCAGGTGGGGTCTCACCAGAGTGGAGTAGAGGGGCAGAATCCCCCCCTCGCCCTGCTGGCCACGCTTCTTCTGATGCAGCCCAGGATGCGGTTGGCCTTCGGGGCTGCGATGGCGCGTTGCCGGCTCAGGCTGAGCTTCTGGTCAATCAGCCCCCCCAGGTGTTAGATGTTGCGTTGTATCGTCGAATTGCCCGGTGCTAGACTTGCAGTGGAAGTCACAATCCCAAATGAAGCAGTAGGTTCCCTCTTCCGGGCATCGGAACGGGCACCTGAGACTTCCAGGAGCCGACAGGCTGCACAGAGCACCGCCTACGTCGTACGTTCACCCTGTCATCGCCATTGCCGAGAGAGACAGGAAACGCCTCTTTTATGAATATACCGGAATAAACGAGGACTTCCCTGTGAGCCGCGTTCCTACCTCCCTGGTATTACCGGACTTAAGTGACCACACTTGGTACCAGAAGTGAATGTACTATTTTTTAGGGTTTTTTTTTTTTTTTTTTAGTTAACTAGACTTTGGTGTTTAGATACTAAAAGATAAAATGGATATTCTATCAATGGCAGCGGTACTCACATGTTGGAATTTAGTGCCCGAATCCCCTCTGTAACTGTAGTCCCAACATTCTGGAAAAACAATCATTTATCATAGGACAGAGACTTCTTAAACAAACTTCAAACGAATGAGGAGAACGTATCAAAAAATCAGCATTGAAACAGGAATATAGTATACACAGTAGGTAAGTTATTAAATAGCGTAGCAGAACCCACCCATCTTTAAAAGACTTTTCTACTTGATTGTAATGAAAATAAGCCACCATTGATTACGGTCAGTTACCCCGGAAGAGTCGTAGAAATTAGCGGAAAACAAAATGAAGGTCTTTCAGTTTAAAACCGTTGCCCCTTCTTCTGTCACTGCGGACCCTACGAAAAAGTCTGTCCCCATCTCTCTTATAGGGCTCCTTTAAGTATTGAAGGTACTACAATAAGGTCTCCCCTTTTTCGCCTTCTCTTCTCCAGGCTGAACCCCCAACTCTCCCAGCAGAGGGGCTCCAGCCCTCCCAGCATCTCGGTGGCCTCCTCTGGCCCCGCTCCAACAGCTCCGTCTCCTTCTGCTGTTGGGACCCCCCGAGCTGGAGGCAGCACTGCAGGGGGGTCTCCCCAGAGCAGAGCAGAGCGCAGCAGAGGGGCACAGTCCCCCCTCGCCCTGCTGGCCACGCTGCTGGGGATGCAGCCCGGGATGCCGGGGGCTCGCTGGGCTTCCGGCGCACGTTGCCGGCTCCTGGCCAGCTTTTCCCCCCCCCGGCACCCCCGAGCCCTTCTCGGCAGGGCTGCTCTCCATCCCTCCATCCCCAGCCTGTGCCGGGACCGGGGGCTGCCCCCACCCCGCAGCAGGACCCCGCGCTTGGCCTGGTTGAACTTCACGAGGTTCGCACGTGCCCTGAATATGTCTGAGTACATCTAAAGGCCCTGAATAGTCTGTACGTGTCTAAATACATTCAAGTATCAGAATGTTGCGGTTTCCTGTAATTTTTTTTTGCAAGAATTCAAATGAGGAATATGAACTGACAGTATTGATTGGTCTCATGGTATGGGAGCACGCAGTGCTGTGCCCGTGTCCGGTAAGACTGGAAGGCAAAGGGATTAGATTCTCTTTCCTGTTGGTTTGTCCAGAGGAAAGCGGTACGTCGTTCCATGCAATGAATAAAGCATTTCCCTGTCAAACGCCCGTTCTATTTTGCCCTCACTTGCTGTTACCGGCTCGATTAGGGAGCCGATGAGACGAGCTGTACTTCACCTGGTGAGACCACTTCCATATTCACTGCTCATGTTGTTGGGAGGACTTCAATATCGGAAGACTCTGCAGTGCAGATTGACTTATGGTTCCATAGGCCTGGGAGTAACTGCCCATCGATGCTCTTGGATCACCGGCAGCTCCCGTGTTTGCAGTAATCTGGAACATCTTTTTGCTGGACTTCAGAAGGGGATGAACATCTTTGCTGTGAAACTGCGTATTTCTTGGATTCTGTGCAAGAAAGAAAAGCCGAGATGGTTCGTAACCTGTAATCAGCTTTCTAAAATACAATTAAGGAACACACATTTTGCTTCATCCGGGGATTAGGACCGATTGTGAATATTATACGAATAATAAACAAAACATCATAGGCTGTTTTGTAAGGTCAAGAATAGGATGGTGTCGTGGTTTGGCCTCAGCCAGCAACAAAGAACCACACAGTCGCTCACGCAACTCCCACAGCCGTGGAAGAAAGAATCATCAGGGCAAAACTCGTGGGTTAAAATAACGCAATTTAACAGAACAGCAAAAGGAAAAAGATGAAAACGCGATTACAGTACCGTCGCGATGTGCACCGACCCGACCCGCACCGCCGCAGCCCACCCCCAAGTGGCGACTGCTCTCCTCGACCAGCTAGCGCCTCTTATAGCCCGGTCATGGGTCACGTGGTATGGAATACCTGCCCCCTGCCGGCTCCGGGGGAGATTAACCCCATCCCTGCCGGAACCAGGACAGATGGTGAGAATGATGTTAGGGAGAAGAGCTGAAGAATGGGTGTATCAAGAATGACCTAGTGGCAACGGAGCAAGATACGACAAACTAATCCTGCACTGGAGCCGAAGTCCAAAGGCCTGTGCGGCTGGGACCTTGTTCTCAACAGCAGCGAATGCTTTAAATAAATGTACCAAAGACAGATCATCATCATGATTCCTCAGTATATCACAGAATCATAGAGTTGTCTGGGTTGGAAGAGACCCTGGGGATCATCGAGTCCAACCATCCGCCCTCCTCTACAAAGTTCTCCCCTACACCACATCCCCCCCTAACACCGTATATCCTCCCAGTATGTTCTACCAATCAAGCGGCTCGGGGACCTTCTGAGTTGGAAGCTGCAGATGGATGCTGTGACTATCAGCCCCCATGAGGAAAAGTTAATAATACATTTATACATTACAGTACATAACACGTTACAATACATTTGAATCTGCGGCTCTTTCACTGCAGGTTATGCTTTGTGAACCTCTGTAGTTAACCGAAGGGCAAGAGTTTCCACTCCTTCTTGCGGCACTGGCTGCTGTTACCCCAGCCATCGCAGGAGTCGTTCCTGGTCAAATGGCTGAGAACAAGAGTTTCGTGAGCCTGAGAGGATACTGAAAACGAACGCAGACGGAACGCAGAGTGAACCGGACTGTCAGAACTTTTCAGGTCCTGCTGAGTCTGAATGAGAAATGGAAAAGTCAACATTCACTTAACAGAAGATCAGCCCCAATGCTGATGACCTTCTCTGTCTCTGACGCTAGCCAGTATTAGCCCCTCAGGGAACAAATACAAAGCACAGGGCACGTGTAGGGTGATCTCCCCTCCCTAGGGGTGGACCTGCTGGGAAGTAGCTCTGAGGAGAAGGATTTGGGGGTCCTGGTAGATAGTAAATTGTCCATGAGCCAGCAGTGTGCCCTTGCTGCCAAAAAGGCCAACGGAATCCTGGGCTGCGTAGGGAAGAGTGTGACCAGTAGGTGGAGGGAGGTCATTCTCCCCCTCTACTCGGCACTGGTGAGGCCACAACTGGAATGCTGTGTCCGGGTTTGGGCTCCCCAGTTCAAGAGGGACAGGGAACTGCTGGAGAGAGTCCAGTGAAGGGCAACCAAGATGACTGAGGGATTGGAGCATCTCCCGTGTGAGGAGAGGCTGAGAGCGCTGGGACTCTTTAGCCTGGAGAGGAGAAGGCTGAGGGGAGACCTTATTATGGCATACAACTATCTAAAGGGGGGGTTGGAGGAGGATGGAGCCAGACTCTTCTCGGTGGTTCCCAGTGACAGGACGAGGGGCAGTGGGCACAAGTTGGAGCAGAGGAAGTTCCGTTCCAACAGAGGGAAGAACTTCTTTACGGTTGGGGTGACAGAGCGCTGGCACAGGCTGCCCAGGGGGTGGGGGAGTCCCTTCTCCGGAGGTTTTCAAGACCCGCCTGGATGCAGTCCTGAGCGATGTGCTCTGGGCAGTCCCACTGTAGCAGGGGAGTGGGACTGGGTGAGCTCTGGAGGTCCCTTCCAGCTCTGAAAATTCTGTGTGTGATTATGCTTTTCCAGCAAAGCAACAGAAAGTTGGTCACAATTACCTAAAGATTCTTCAAAGCGCATTGTTCATGTGTACAACTACACATACAAACAATGGTCCCACAGTTGCTCCGCACTTGTGGAATAAAGGATTCCTCTCACTCTCGAAACATTTTCAGTGGGATTCCAAAGCAGAGGGACTGAAAGACGGCGTGCGAGTGCGCGTGTGGACAGACTTGGCAGTTTCTGGCAATCGTATCTTCTTTTAGCAGTTTGTCATACCTCTTTTCGTATCAATCACAACAGTAAGAAGAGATCCAGTAGGAAGAAGCTCGACTCTTAACAGTGTCTGTAGCTTGTTTCTAGCTTGAAACGGTTCAGATCATTCAGAGCTGTGTTCAAAGAAATAATCTGCTCTAAGGTAAACGTGATATTGCACGCTGACGCGGAGCAGGTGATCCCACTCCACTCATCTTTAATGGTGGTGTCTGTCAGGAGTCCCTTCACACAACTGTGCTCACCATACATTTTGAATGTTTTGGAGCTCCAGCGCATAGACACTCAAAATATTCTTTTGTGGGGATGTGAGGAAGTCCCACGACAAACAAGTCAATCTTTAGTGTCACAAAAAAGGTAACCCGTGGTGCCTCACTCCATATTCTTCCTCTGCCATAAGCTTCCTCTGATCGCGTGGTGTTGGCTAGACTCTCCTGGAGCTGGTGAGCAGACAACTAGCTCAGGGAAAAGAAAAAGCAGGGGCAAGGAGGTCATTTAAGAACCTAATGCGGATAACAACTTTTACAAGGAAGCGTGGCCAAGGACAGGGAAGAGGCAGGAGCGGAGAGGACAGGACTGAAACCTTCACTGTTCAACAACAGTAATCCACCAGGTTGGTTCTAGAGATAGCGCGAATTCTTCAGCTCAGTTTGGGACACCCGACAGTCTCAATCTGGTTAAAAAAGAATTTGCTGCCTTTGGACAGGACAAGCCATCACTGAAGATGGTGTAAAAGCAACTTATCTGTGGTTCTCAAAGTCAAAGGGAGGTTTTGATGCTGCCGACAATCGGAACAGTGTGATAATCTGAAAAGGTGTTCAAACGCTCGCTTGTCTGACGTGATAAAACCGAAAGCAGAATGGAATCCAAAATCGGTCTGTCGTCTCGAAAAAGGGCAGTGGAAAAGATGTCATACATCTCAGCACCTCTAGAAAGACGTTGCATTAAAAACTCAAGATGGGAAAAAGAAGTCGAGGCAAAAAATCTGCAGAGATATTTTTACTTTTCTTTTTGATTACGGTTCGCTGACATATACGATCCATTACAACTAATCTATGTGAAGAAAATACCGCCAATGAGGCAGAGACCTAGATTTACAAAAAGGGCTGTGTTACTCCATGTTCTCTGAAGTACCTAATTCCCCCACTTAAATTCAACGGTCATTCACAGAACTCCCGCATAGCCCTATGGGCACCAAAATCCTCCCGCTACTCAAGACGCATGTGATAGGGTTTTTTGAAAGACTGGGGTTAGACTCAAAACTCCAGGAGAAAGGCAGCGTTCGTAAACCTAGACTAGCTGAAGATGGTTGGACACGACGATCTCAAAGGTCCCTTCCAACCTAGACAACCCTGTGATTCCGCGATTCCATCTGCCAGAGATGTAAGGGTTAAGCCACAGCTATGCCCTTGGCGTTTCCTGGTGATGACTATAGATGGTCTTCCTCTCATCTCTGCCTCCTGCACAGAACTTAATTCGGGGTCGTTAGGAGACAAAACGCCTGAAAATGTCGGTATGGCAACACTGAAGGCTGCAATATGCAAGTTCCTATATGAATCTTCCCTACATTAGAGACAAGCTATGCCTAGTTATTTCCCCTGCTAGCAGAAACTCTAGTTAGCACACTCTTCAGCTCTCTGGTAATGGGAATCACAGAATCACAGAATTTTCAGAGCTGGAAGGGACCTCCAGAGCTCACCCAGTCCCACCCCCCTGCTAAAGCAGGACTGCCCAGAGCACATCGCTCAGGACTGCATCCAGGCGGGTCTTGAAAACCTCCAGAGAGGGACTCCCCCACCCCCTGGGCAGCCTGTGCCAGCGCTCTGTCACCCCAACCGTAAAGAAGTTCTTCCCTCTGTTGGAACGGAACTTCCTCTGCTCCAACTCGTGCCCATTGCCCTTCATCTTGTCACTGGGAACCACCGAGAAGAGTCTGGCTCCATCCTCCTGCAACCCCCCCTTTAGATACGTGTATGCCATAATAAGGTCTCCCCTCAGCCTTCTCCTCTCCAGGCTAAAGAGTCCCAGCGCTCTCAGCCTCTCCTCATACGGGAGATGCTCCAATCCCTCAGTCATCTTGGTTGCCCTTTGCTGGACTCTCTCCAGCAGTTCCCTGTCCCTCTTGAACTGGGGAGCCCAAAACTGGACGCAGTATTCCAGTTGTGGCCGCACCAGTGCCGAGTAGAGGGGGAGAATGACCTCCCTCCACCTACTGGTGACACTCTTCCCTACGCAGCCCAGGATTCCGTTGGCCTTTTTGGCAACAAGGGCACACTGCTGGCTCAGAACATACTCTGTACAAACCCAATCAAACTAGATTACCGCTACCATTTGACTGACACTACATAGAAGCACCAAAACTGCAGCGTATATCTTTGGCATAAGTAATTTTAACTGGTTGGACTGGTTGGACTCGATGATCCCAAGGCTCTCTTCCAACCTAGACAATTCTATGATTCTAGGATTATTATTAATTTAGTCACTTGCAGAGCAATATGTCTTGCCTGACGTTTAAGTATCTTTACAAAGTTGCAAATTAAGATATTTCGTGTCTATATGAACAGGTTGCCCAGAGAGGTTGTTGAGGCCCCATCCCTGGAGGTGTTCAAGGCCAGGCTGGAGGTGGCCTTGGGCAACCTGGGCTGGTGGGAGGTGTCCCTGCCCGTGGCAGGGGGGTTGGAACCCGATGAGCTTCAAGTTCTTTCCAACCTAAACCGTTCTGTGATTCTATCATTCTACATAAATTTAGTCCATGACAAGTTGAGGGTTTGTTTGGGTTTTTCTGGTAGGACTGCTACTCACATTATAAAGGTTCTGTACGCTCGTAGGAGGTAGCCGAGCGTTTGCATTTGCCCATGTGATTTGTCTCCCCAGTTTCCTATTGTTGGAGATTCTGGTCTGTTGAGGTGGTGGTATAGAACAGTTCCTGATGACAGCACCGGAATTTGCCTTACCTGCAGAAGAAAAAAGACGAGAGAGAGGAAAATCATGAGGACACACAACACGCTGACTGAACATAAAAACTGAGTCAGCCCCTCACACCTCTCTTCATCTCACAAACAAAACAAAAAATATTCAGAATAAAATTAGAATGTCGTAGCAAACAAAACCAGTACAAAAAAGGGCATGGGAAAAGATACCAGCAGTAGAGAAGCAAAGAGAAAACAGAAAGGAACACGGGGTCCAGACTGAGGCAGGAAAGGGCCAAAGCGAATGTCATACACTCAAAACTCATTCAACAGTGTTTCGTTCTTATGCCGTTTTCCTCCTACACTTTCCCCCTCTCATTTTGCCGTGTAAATTCCCCTTATTTCTTTTTCCCCACTCCATCTTTTCCCTTCTTTCTTCCCCATAATAGTGCCTCACGGTGAATCACATCCCAGCGTAGGAGGGTAGTACCTACTCTGAACAGCAGCGTGTGTTATGGGATTGTATATCACATTGATCTTCGTTCTCTGACATAAATCTTCACTCTGGTCGGATACTTCTGGCTGGACAGCAGTTGTAGTTCCAGCACGCACATGCGAAGTTTTTAGAAGAGGTGGTGGTGTTTCTCTCGGGCCTTTCCCGGTAGGTAAAGTCGCAGAACTGGAATTTGGAAGAAGCGGCCGGGATTCAGACTGACTCAGCTGAATGTTTTCCTTCCACGCGCGCTCCTTTGGATGGCTATTTAATTTCTTTTCAAGGATCATCTACAGAAAGGAGAAGTTGATCAGGCTTAGCACAGCTGCGCAGCAGAGCAGAGGAAAAAAACATAGAAAAAAAAAAGGGAAAGCCTTACAAATAACTGCAGTTCATTTCACAGGATAGGTCACAAGCATAATTTTAAAATTAATTTAGGGTTGGAAAGAAGATAGCAATAATATTCTCAATGAAAAGAAAGAATAGGCCGAAGCATTAAGAAAAAGGATTGGTTGAACCGGCAACGTGAACATATCCTGAGGGAGAACACCACTAAACAAAATGGGCGTTAGCCTTGGAAAAGGCAGAATCTATATGCCCAAAAGGTTAACGCTATGTTGTTTCTTACCATCCCGTTCTAGACCTTTGCAAAGCTGATTTTTTTATTGGTCAAAGCACCATTCATTCCAGCTAATTCATAATTATTTCTCACCTTCCTCTACGTGCGATTCTTTAGTAAAAGAATCCTTGCCAAGGTTTTGGGTCTTGGGGCAGACAAGCTGCTCTCAACTTCCTGTAATCAGAGTCATCCCAAATTTGACACTCTATCAGTAAGATTATTCCAAATTATTCCCTTGTTTCTGAGCCTTGCACCTCGACGATCTGTGACCGCTCTACTGACATTTCGAATATCTTTTCTACCTGTGCCAGTAGTCACTTTACTAACTCATCTGCTCATAACTCCTAACGCTTTATCACAGTAGAGTTTGTTTTCTTCTATTAAAGGCCTTAAAAGAAATTTTCAGTAGGTTGAACTTTTAAAATTAAGTGTTATTTTTTCTTTCTCAAATTTTAATTGCTGTTAATAGAAGCAATAGCACGCTTTCTCTCTCTGGGAAGCTGGACAACCTCATCAGTCTTTCTCAGTCTCGGATTTTCTGTTCTCTAAGCTTCCTTTTCAATCTTCTCTTCCCACTACGATTCTTTCCAATGCCTGTTTTACTACAGCTACATTCCAACTCCTGCTCTTCTCACCATCTGCTAGTTCCTTTGCCTCATAACACGGCATTTACATCGTTGGGACCTGGGCAGGCTGGAGAGGTGGGCCCGTGCCAACCTCATGCAGTTCAACAAGACCAAGGGCAAGGTCCTACAGCTGGGTCAGGGCAATCCCAAGCACAACTCCAGGCTGGGTGGGGAACGGCTGGAGAGCAGCCCTGAGGAGAAGACCCTGGGGGTGCTGATTGACCAGAAGCTCAGCCTGAGCCGGCAATGTGCCATCGCAGCCCAGAAGGCCAACCACATCCTGGGCTGCATCAAAAGAAGTGTGGCCAGCAGGGCGAGGGAGGTGATCCTGCCCCTCTACTCCACTCTGGTGAGACCCCACCTGGAGTACTGCCTCCAGCTCTGGAGTCCCCAACATCAGGAGGACATGGACCTGCTGGAGCGTGTCCAGAGGAGAGCCACGAGGATGCTGCGAGGGCTGGAGCACCTCTGCGATGAGGAGAGGCTGAGAGAGTTGGGGCTGTTCAGCCTGGAGAAGAGAAGGCTCCGGGGAGACCTTATTGCCGCCTTCCAGTGCCTAAAGGGGCTCCAGGAGAGCTGGGGAGGGACTTTTTACTGGGGCATGGAGTGACAGGACGAGGGGGAATGGCTATAAACTGGAAGAGGGCAGGTTTAGATTAAACATTAGGAAGAAGTTTTTCACTCTGAGGGTGGTGAGGCACTGGAACAGGTTGTCCAGAGAGGTTGTTGAGGCCCCATCCCTGGAGGTGTTCAAGGCCAGGCTGGAGGTGGCCTTGGGCAACCTGGTCTGGTGGGAGGTGTCCCTGCCCATGGCAGGGGGGTTGGAACTCAATGATCTTCGAGGTCCTTTCCAACCTAAACCATTCTGTGATTCTATGATTCTATGAGTAGACTTCCACCTTGCTCAGCCAGAGAAGGGAGCAGGATGAGGCTGTTGGTGCCATCTATGTTTGTGAGAGCGCTCCGAGTGCCTGCTTGTGATCCCTGTGGCCAGCGATGCTGGACCCAGGGACATGGAGTGGCAGCAGCCTCACCTCTCTTGGACTGTTGGATGCAGCATATTATACTTTCCTCTAACTCAGCCTTTCTCAGAAATCATGCTTTACAGGCTTTACTTCTCCCAGTGGGAATCCAGACTTAAAGGCCTCTCAAAAATTACAACAGTGTGGAACTGACTGATAGGAAACACTAGGACGTAACGGTAAGGACGTATGGAAAGCCTAGGGGAACGCAAATAGAAGAAAATTACAGAATTCGGTACCTCATATAATTTATTTCGATATTCTCCCACAGACAGCTGGATATCATCACCCAAAGGAAGAATCACATCATAATCCAGAGAGGGCTCCCTGGCAGGACAGTGAAACCTAAGACGATAACAAGACATAACGCAATTCACTAAGACTAAAACCAGCCCCACAGATTAATATAACGTGAAAAAGGATTATTAAATCATCTAGTGTGACCTCTAGTGTAAATAGGGTTACAGAAAATTAAGAAGTAGCTTTGTCTCTTTTTTTCTATCATGCACATAAAGAAAACTTGTGCCGAGAGCGGGTCTGTAACGTCTCAGAAGACACCAGGAGAAACTGCACATTGGTATTACGCTCACCGCTTCACATAAGGATGCTGCAGAGCTTCCTCCGCTGTGAGTCGCTTATCAGGGTTAAATACTAAAAGTTTCTTCAGAAGATCCAAGGCAGGCAATGGAGTAGAGGACGGTAAAATCTCCTCAAATGTTACTCGCTGCCTAGAAGTGAGAAAATAACAATATAAGCTCCCAGTCTCTAATTCACAGGGAAGGCATGAATTACAGTTCTGGAAATCACAGCGAGGTGACACCTGACTCCAGAGTCCGCTCACAAACAGTGTGTCATAATCCTGGAACACTCGAAAATATGGGCTTGTGAGTGAGCGCAGTAAAGTCTTTTACCCCTTTGATTAGGTTTGAGTGCCTCCTCCTGGCGCCAGGAACCTACATGGAGCGCCTAACTTGCAAGTCTAGTCTTTTCCTTCGGTGGAAAGAGTGGGAGATATCAAAGACAGCAGAATGATGAGTCCTCTGGACAACAAATCCTTCTTTTGTTCTTTCGACAATGCAGGAAGCCCAAACCCCGAACTTGGACGTGTCGGTTGAACTGTTAAAAGATCCCATGAATCCAAGCCCTTAGACCCCAGAAATATATTCCTGTATAATTTGCAATGAGAAGATGAAGTTTAAAAATCTGGTTTTGCATTTTGTAATCCTAAAGATAATAATTAGAATCATAGACTCATAGAATTGTCTGGGTTGGAAGAGACCCTGGGGATCACCGAGTCCAACCATCCGCCCTCCTCTACAAAGTTCTCCCCTACACCATATCCCCCAACACCGCATCGAAACGGCTCTTCAACACCTCCGGGGATGGGGACTCCACCCCCTCCCCGGGCAGCCTATTCCAGTGCCCGACCGCTCTTTCTGTGACAAAATTACCATAATCAACATAAGAATATCTAATACGTTTGAAAAATAAGTTTTGAAATACAATTCTTACTCTTAGTTTAAATAATTTTGTTACTTCGGGACAACATTCTTTCAGTTTAGAAAAATGATCCATCACCGAACACAGCACTTGGACTGAGTGGCTCAGAAAAAAACCTTTTCAGTTTTGAAGACTGTTTCACTTGTTCTTTTAGCTAGCTGAAGCCACCCGTCAGAACTTAGACCCTTTCATATTTTTTGGGGGGGGGAAGAAAGAAAAAAAGAAGGTAACATCCAAAGAGAAGGGCTGCGTCTTTCCTCCTTGCTCTGCAGAGCTGTGAAGTGGTCCTGCAAGGGCACCTCAGGCTTCGGGGGAAGTCTCCTCCTTCTGCTGGTCCCCGAAATAGCCCGTGCCAAGGATGCACAGAGTCAGGCACAACAGGATGCCTTCGCCACTTATTGCGTGTTAGAGTCACTTCAGCCTCGAGCACAGAAAACTGTCGGATCATCCTGCTGCTCCACAAATCCAAGCGGGTTCCATCATCCTTTTGCATCCTGATGGCATTAGGGTCAGCGCGCGCTGGTGTCCAGCAGAGCCTCATACTCCTGCGGGTGCAACGTGCCGGACTACTGCAGCCCTACAGCCCAATAAACCTGGTCATGCCTCTCCTCCGCCTGGCTGGAGGCACAGTCCCTCTGTTCCTGCTCAGAGCATTCATTACCCAACTCCTGTAATCGAAACCAGGATCAGAAGTAGGATCGGTCCTTCCATTGTGTCTGGGGAATTGCTCAACAGCAACTGGAACAGTCGCCTTCCTGAACGGGCCCTTTTTGGCTGCTGGTTTTCCTTGCAATTCATAAACACGAGCTTCCGGGCTTGACACAGATGCAGCATCCCACTTCCTCGTGTACTCCCCATCGTCGTGCAGATAGAACCACAGTTCCTTTCAGCAGAGAAAGGCTGTAACGCTCTTGATCGCTAAGACGCTGACCTGTATGGGTGAGGAGGAAAACACAGACTCTTTGAGTTTGCTGGAACTTTTGGGACAGTTTTTCTACGGCTGAGACAGAGGACCACAAGGTTGGGGAGGTAGAGATACTCTCTTCGTATTTCCAGAGCTGGCCAGCCAGGCTGTCCAAGGTTGGCATCTCAATGTCTGTACAATTATTATCAAGGTGCTGACATACAACGTTGGTGTGCTCTGTACCAACTCTTGACTTCACCTCTACCTATGGAGCCCCGGTTATCGCCCAGGTTGCTGTAATCACCTCCACCACCAACTCCCTAATGCTGAATATCTCCCTCAGTGGTGGTCCACTCGTCTCAGTAGTTTACAAGATCTTCCTTGAGGGGATACCTTGCCTTCACGCTCGACAGAAGTCGCCTCCAGAAGTTGCAGATTGTTGCCCCTCTTCCAATCTCTTCATTGGTTCCCCAGTCCTTAGCGAGATCCCAGTTGCCGGGCTTTCTTACCCTCGAGTTCCTGACTCAGCACTGGCCCCAGTGTCCTAACATCAGAGCACCCAGGTGATAATTTGCTTATCTAGATGACAGCTGCAACCTTTCCACATATCTCGTTCAGGGATAGGGACTGGGTGGTTTCTGCACTCGTTCATGATTCCTGTCTCTTCCCCCACTTGTTCTTGTGGCTGCCATGCTGCAGAACAGGCTGCCTCTTCTGATTCTTCTGGAGCATGTCCAGAAGAGGGCCACCAGGATGATCCGAGGGCTGGAGCACCTCTGCGATGAGGAGAGGCTGAGAGAGTTGGGGCTGTTCAGCCTGGAGAAGAGAAGGCTCCGGGGAGACCTTATTGCCGCCTTCCAGTCCCTAAAGGGGCTCCAGGAGAGCTGGGGAGGGACTTTTTACTGGGGCACGGAGTGACAGGACGAGGGGGAATGGCTCTAAACTGGAAGAGGGCAGGTTTGGATTAAACATTAGGAAGAAGTTTTTCACTCTGAGGGTGGTGAGCCACTGGAACAGGTTGCCCAGAAAGGTTGGTGAGGCCCCATCCCTGGAGGTGTTCAAGGCCAGGCTGGAGGTGGCCTTGGGCAACCTGGGCTGGGGGGAGGGGTCCCTGCCCATGGCAGGGGGGGTGGAACTCAATGATCTTCAAGGGCCTTTCCAACCTAAACCATTCTGTGATTCTATGATTCTTCCTCCCGCTCCCTCTTAGAAGCTTCTTCCTGCCTTACTAACCAAGTTGACTTCCTCTTCCATTGTTTAGAAGCAACTGTTATTGCCGGGGGTTGGGTCTCTGACTTAGCCACAGTGTCCATTTGTATGTCCTCAGCTCCAGAGACCCTTTCACCCCACTGCGGTAGGTGTAGGCCAGGCCCCTGCCCAGTGTGAGAAGTTGTGTCTCTTTGGCACAGACAGGGCATCCTTTCTTCAAGTGTTTTGTCACTTCCGCAGGATGCCACGCTTGTTTGGGTGTGCGGTCCTACACCATCGGATGCGAAAATTGCTCTGGGTACCTGCTCAAATTCTCCCACGCAACTTGTGACCCATAACCCGACTACCTCAGAGCATATCCCTTTGTGGCACTCACAAATAGTCAGTTATCCGTAGGAAAATCCAGAATCACATTCTTAACATACACCAACATGAGCATTCTAGTTACCCATGGATGTTCAAGAAACCGCAGAGCTGTTGTAACAAGGCAGGAGAAAAAAAAACCTACCCCAGAAGAGAGGAAGCGGGAAGTGCCATTCTTCATTTCCTCTACAAATTGGCTCCCGGAGGAGGAGAGGACAAATTGTTAATTATCTCCACGAGATGGTTCCCATACTTTACTGGAACAGAACCAATGCAGGGCCTAAATATCAGATGAGGTTCAAGGCCAGTGCTTTTATCATAACTCTCCCCGGCAAAACACAAGAAAGTGCTAAACAGCACAGTAAACTGCAAAAGCTGAGAGCAGCCGTTAACGAGCCCTCAAATTTGGTGTACGGCAAGAGAGGGAGCACGCTATAGAGCGGGTAAAGGAACAAATAAACCAGTGTGGAGAACAAACACATCAATATTACGAGCAGCAACAGCTAAACAGGTGTAACGACTATAAATTCCTGTCTGATACACTCCAGTCAAATCTATCGTGATCTCAAATCCCTTCGGCCCCGTGCTGGGCGTCAAAAAGGACGTCGGGGAGTTGATTCCCAGCTGACAGCTAAGACCCCATCTAGTCATTCACTCTCTCCCCCTCAGTGGGATGGGGGAGAGAACTGGAAGGGCAAAAGCAAGAAAACCTCGTGGGTCAAGATAAAGACGGCTGAGTAAGTGGAAGGGGGAAAAAAGGGGGAAAAGGGAATCAAAAAAATCCCAAACCAAGTTGTGAAAAAGCAATCACTGACCACCAGCAAACGCAAAGCCAGGGTCTGAGCAACAGCTACTTTGGAGAAATTCCTCCCCACCCGTTTTATTGCTGAGCGTGACACTACCTCGTACGGAATATCTCTCTGGTCAGAAGAGGCGGCTGTCCCAGCCATGTCCCCTCCATAGTCCCGTGCCAACACTTCGCGTACCGGCTGTGGGGGCACAGTGAGAAACGGAGACAGCCTTGTGGGCTGCTGCGCAAGCACTGTTAAGCAACAGCTGAAACACCGCTATGTTATCAACACTGGTTTGGTCACAAATATAAACCACAGCAGCCTACAAGCTGCTACGAAGGAAATGAACTCCATTCCAACCGAACCTCGTACAGGTGCACAGCAAAAGGACGAGAAGAAACATTCACGAGTCGCACCAAGGGAAATTCCAATGGGATACTGTGGCCGTCCCCTTCCCTCTGACCAGGTCAAACACACGCGCCACGCTGAGAGTTGAACCAGCACGGACAAAAGGGTCTCGGTTCCTCGGCTACCTGGCATAGATTAATACGGGAATTCTCCAGGATGCCAAAGAAAGAAGTCAGCAAAAGTCAGCATGAAAATACATACACCGTTCACGTGAACAGCAAAGGACTTGCCAGAGCTTATGGCTTGAGCCACCCTAACTAAACCTATAGCAACGCAGCTATAGCTCAGAGGGTTGTAGTTGGTGGTGCAGAGTCTGGTTGGAGGTCACTTACAAGTGGTGTCCCTCAGGGGTCAGTACCGGGCCCAGTTTTGTTCAACATATTCATCAATGATCTGGATGAAGGGATAGAGTGTACCATCAGCCACTTCGCTGATGACACCAAACTGGGAGGAGTGGCTGACACGCCAGAAGGCTGTGCCACCATACAGCGTGACCTGGACAGGCTGGAGAGTTGGGCAGAGAGGAACCTGATGAAGTTCATCAAGGGCAAGTGTAGGGTGCTGCATCTGGGGAGGAATAACCCCGTGCACCAGTACAGGTTGGGGGTGACCTGCTGGAGAGCAGCTCTGTGGAGAGGGACCTGGGAGTCCTGGTGGACAACAGGATGACCACGAGCCAGCAATGTGCCCTGGGGGCCAAGAAGGCGAATGGCATCCTGGGGGGCATCAAGCAGAGTGTGGCCAGCAGGGCGAGGGAGGTCATCCTCCCCCTCTACTCTGCCCTGGGGAGGCCACATCTGGAGCACTGTGTCCAGTTCTGGGCTCCTCAGTTCAGGAAGGACAGGGAACTGCTGGAGAGGGTCCAGCAAAGGGCAACGAAGATGATGAGGGGATTGGAACATCTCTCATATGAGGAAAGGCTGAGGGACGTGGGGCTCTTTAGTCTGGAGAAAAGAAGATTGAGGGGGGATCTTATTAACGCCTACAAATCCTTCAAGGGAGGGTGCCAGGGGGATGGGAGCAGTCTGTGTCCAGTGGTGCCCAGTGACAGGACGAGGGGTAACGGGCACAAACTTGAACATAGGAAGTTCCATCTCAACCTGAGGAGGAACTTCTTTACCTTGAGGGTAGTGGAGCACTGGCACAGGCTGCCCAGAGAGGTGGTGGAGTCTCCCACTCCGGAGCCATTCCAAACCCGCCTGGATGCCGTCCTGTGCAACCTGTTGTAGGTGACCCTGCTCTGGCAGGGGGGTTGGACTAGATGATCTCCAGAGGTCCCTTCCAACCCTGACCAGTCTGGGATTCTGTGATTCTGTATCAGTAAGCATTCAGAGAACTCATACCACGCATAGCTGGGTTATGCGTGTTGCAGACTCCCCCACGAGAAGGGATCCCCACTAGTACCGTGACAGATACGAGCGAAGAACACTTGGAGACTGGCGAGTAATTCGCTATGGCCATAAGACAGTGTAAGAGCATTAAGTTTACTACTGTTTACTGATTAGGTATGCAATAAATGCAGAATTACGTGATAATCTGTGTATGTAACTGGAGGACCCAAAAGAATCGTGACAGATATATGGGGAAAAAAAAGTAATAGAAAAAAAATAATCAGAGAGAGAGTTGTTAAGCAGACGGAAGGAGGCTGCCAGCCTGAACAGACTCAGGCTTTCCATCTGTGACCCGATGACATCAGATCCCCAAATGACTCAGGATAGGAAAATATTCTCATTTTGGGAAAGTACACATGACAATAACTTGGACTGTAGGCCCAACCTTATTTTGCTTTGTTATTCCCAGATTATGTCATTGGCTTTCTCCTAATTTAATTTTTTTAAAAAAAAAAAAAAACCCAAACTTTACATCCCTTCCCTTAGAGGGAGCTGAATCTGCAGACAGCAGAAATCATTTCCACCGGTGAACTTCACTGGAAGGTGAACTTTTTGTCAACATCATACAGTAGATTGTTGACTTCTGAGACACATCAAACACACGAGGCTTACCGGGAACTCATGCGGTTAATAACTGAGGCCCTGTAATCTGACTGCATAGCCAAAATATCTGCAATAATGAAAACACACTGTTAATGCCAAGATTAGGATACAGAGCTACACAGTTTATGAAGGAAAGCAAATATTTGATATCAACGTAGGAAATTAGCCTCATAAAACTCGATGGGAGATCTTACGGAAGGAAGATGGAATATTTACTTGGGAGGATGGAATATTTACTTACAAATCTTCCAAGCTGATTTTCTCAATTCCTATTCATGCTATCATAGATTTTATAAACTTGCACTCTTATCCCCGCGTACGCGGAAGCACCGAGATATCTGAGGCCAAATGATCTAGCCAGGATCGCTTGTGTTGGGCACAGAGAGCACGGGATGCCAGCTATTGATTTCCTCATCGCATCCACCGGTGTTCTTTTTGATGGGCGACTGTGAACTGTTTTCTGAACATATCTGTCATACTCTGACAGAGTCAACAGCTGCTACTGTTTTTTTCTTCTGCTACTTTTTTTTTTTCTTCAGAATCTTCCTTCTTTGGTCCCCATAAATCTTACGCAAAGTTGCTGCTCATAGGCTGGTTTTCTCTGTTCGCAATAGTGTTTCGGACAAGTATTTGTTTTCACTTGTTTGGCTAAAAGAAAAAGAAATTGTGCCTGCGATATGCTGCAACCTTGCAGCCTTTGTCCTGTGGGAAGGATACAGGACCTTCCGCTAACAAGTAATCTGTCCTGTGGTCTTGTCTTAAGAGTGCAGACCTTCTGGTTATAACATCATCAACACATTCTTCGATTGTACTGCTGAGAATGCGACAGCGTTTTTCGTTATTGGTGCTGGTTCTTCTAACTCCTGGTTGGTGTTTTCACACGCACGTTTCCATTTGTATTTCATTCACAGCAACCGAATCTCTACTAAAAACTATAAATAAATTTAAGCTTGAATGAAATTCTCCAAAACTGTGATGCCCTTAAACTGAAGGTAGTTATTGTTCTAAAAACTAACTGCTAGATCAGTTAGAACATATCAACGTGTTGTAAAAGTTTATAAAATGTATTGGCTGCGAGACTGGAACTCATAAAAGACAATAATAATAATAACAACAATCATCATCATCCCCCTTTTGGATTTAACACGTATTTACTCCAGCTTTCACTTCTGTGTTTAGATTTCCAGCCCAAAAAGTCCAATTTCCCTTTGCTAGGCAAGTCCCACTGAAGGGGCTGTTTTAAATCGTTATCCTCCTACAAATCTCAAAATGTTCTGAAGGCTTGTGTCTTGCTTCTCATCTAATCAAGTATGGGCTTGTTTTCCTCTAACACTAACATTTCACAATTAAATCTCTAATTAATTGTGGCCAGCAGGTCAAGGGAGGTGATCCTGCCCCTCTACTCCACTCTGGTGAGACCCCACCTGGAGTACTGCCTCCAGCTCTGGAGTCCCCAACATAAGAAGGACATGGACCTGCTGGAGCGTGTCCAGAGGAGAGCCACCGGGATGATCCGAGGGCTGGAGCACCTCTGCGATGAGGAGAGGCTGAGAGAGCTGGGGCTGTTCAGCCTGGAGAAGAGAAGGATCCGGGGAGACCTTATTGCCGCCTTCCAGTACCTAAAGGGGCTCCAGGAGAGCTGGGGAGGGACTTTTTACTGGGGCATGGAGTGACAGGACGAGGGGGAATGGCTCTAAACTGGAAGAGGGCAGGTTTAGATTAAACATGAGGAAGAAGTTTTTCCCTGTGAGGGTGGTGCGGCACTGGGACAGGTTGCCCAGAGAGGCTGTTGAGGCCCCATCCCTGGAGGTGTTCAAGGCCAGGCTGGAGGTGGCCTTGGGCAACCTGGGCTGGTGGGAGGTGTCCCTGCCCAGGGCAGGGGGGTTGGAACTCAAAGATCTTCGAGGTCCTTTCCAACCCAAACCATTCTATGATTTTATGAATTTCCTTGGAAAGATGTTAGAACGACTCACAAGAGAGACCTTCTTCCCTGATCCATCTGGGCTGCTTTCTTTCACTCTTAATCTCCAAATACCTTTCCCCACAGAAGAATCCTACCTTCAGAGGATGGGGCAGGAACGACCCTCAAGATCTGCTCTATTTGATTCACTGTTGATGTTCCAGGAAAAAGAGGTTTCCCAAGCAGCATCTCTCCCAGAATACAGCCAATGCTCCACATGTCTACACCTTTAGTGTAACTACAAAGAAGAACAGAACAGAGTTAGGACTAAATCAAGCAAATATTTTTCTGTACCCACTATTCACATCATCTACATGAGCGTATTTTGCTAGAAAAGCAAGATCGACGACTCCTCGAAAACAAACGCTCAGAGGTTTTAACTGGAAAATGAACGAGATTCAGGAATCATGAAACTGGCAAGCATAAAACAGAAAGGAGATTTATCCTACTAAAAGTCTATTCTGGGAAACCATAAAAGGAAATATATGAAAGGTAAATTCCAGGAGAAGGTAATATATACTTTTCATACGACCAACAGTGAAGATAGATAGAAGTGGTTGCTTGGAAGCAGCTGATTTTTCATGGCACGTGTCCAGAAAGCAGTTACAATTACTTAAGCAAAGTAAAAGCCAAACAATGGGTAAATGAGAGTTTGCAAAACATCCACACTTCAAATTTGCTACACTAACCCAACCTATATTTATTTTCTTTTCTGATCACTAAGATTTTGTGTATTTTAGTCAAAAAAAGCGCCGAGCCTGACTAACAGGCAGCTGATTTAACATTTGATTACAGAATATTTTCTGAAGGTCTCGGGGAAAAAAAACCTCTCCTTAAATTTGGAAAAGAGGACGATGGTACTCAACCAAATTTTGTAAAGGTGCAGATTTAACGGGATAAAGAGTAAACGTAGTGGGAGAAAGGATGACAAACAGATGAGCTGATAATATATGTAAACAAACAATCTGAGAAGCCAGGAGGAAATGTCCGTGTAATGAGAGATTTTTATGTCGCAGAACCAAAGTTTAAATGTGTATTGAGAAAATGGACTGCTGACACGACATCGCATCTAGCGGCATCTAAAATGAAAAGGTTTAAGACTTTTAGACAATAAAATTTCCCAGTGGTGAAGGAATTACAGAACCCCATCCCTTCGCTCACATTAAGCGGTTACCTTCGAGAGGAAAGTAAGATCTCGGGGGCTCGGTACCAGCGTGTCGCCACATACTCCGTTAGAGGAGGGTTACCTTGGTCCTCATTCATCTGACATAAAGAACGGGCCAGCCCAAAATCACAAAGTTTAACAAAGCAGTCTGCATCCAGCAAGATATTTGAAGGCTGAATTGAACAAAGGAGAATTAATAAGCTTTTTACTCTCTGAATGGCAGAAGATTATCATCAACGTTCTTTCACTAGTCTCATTCTTTTCATACATTTCCATTTAGTGTTTAACAGAAAACTTGAGTGAAGGAGAAAAACTATGAATACGAAATATACCTTCTGATCCCTGTGAATAACATTTCCTGAGTGGATGAATTTAGTTGCCTTCAGGAGTTGGTAGAGAATGTAACATTTGTGGATATCTTTCAGCAAATTCCCCTTCTTAATCACAGCATGTAGATCTGTCTCTGTAACATATTATAGCAGTAAAGCATCACCAAGTTGGGAATATAAATTCCTCAAAGCAAGGCCAGAACAGACTATTGTCCAAACTGTAATCTTTCGGGTGGATCCTCAACAGAAGTTAGCAGCGTAATTATTAATAGTACTGAAATCTCTCTGTATTATCAGTTCGACTTGCAGCTCACGCTACAGTAACGGCTCTATTATTGCACTTTTGTTATAATAAAATTGCACGTAGTCTCTTCCGCATCTGTCTCTACAAGCCTGCTAATTTGTTGCTCGCTGCCGTCTTTCCATCATCTCAACCAGCCCGTTCTCACGTAATTATTATTCCCTTGAAAGTTTCACTGCTGTTCCCATCTAATCACAACAGATACATATATATAAACCCTGTACTGCTCCTGCTTAGATGTCTACTTACATGAATATTCATGTAAATCATCAGCACGATACTATCAAAGTAGGGAACAAAGACAACCGATAAGAGAGGCTGGATTTAGACGGCCGATGCAATGCTAAGTCTCACCCATGGACTCAAAGACGAGGTAGATGTCCTTGTCATTCTGAGCTCGGATAACATCAAGCAGCTTGATGATATTTGGATGTTCTCCAAATTCCTGCAGAGGGAAGAGGCCCGACTGTCAAAATCAAGTGTCTTGCTTGCGAATCAGAAAAAAGGACATTAACCTATCTCGTTTTGCGTTATTGTCTAGAAGAACCACGAACATGCTATTTCCTTCATTATGCTTCTACTGAAATAAATAAAAAAAGGATTTAAGCTTGCTCCACAGTATGAAACCAGCCAAGTAATATACATAAAAAAAAGTTGTCTGAGACATTAATCCTCAAAATCCCTCTATACCGTTTGTGAATAAAATCCAGTAAACTTTATGCACCTCCTATTTCCTACCGAAGGCGAAGAATCGTTGTGGCAGTGAAAACAGAACAAAGTTGCCATCGACATTCATAATTAAAAACCCCAACCAACCGGTAAGCGTCTACTTGAGGGTCGGCTCAAACTCTACAGGCTGCGCTCATGGAACTAGCGGTAACGGCAGATCAGACAGCGTACAAAGCCAGACCTAAATACAGATGTCTTTAACTGGAGGTGAATTCTTGAGGCCAATAGAAAAATTGGTTATAATGTGCAACGTATAAAAAACCAAAATCACAAACCAACACACTGCCCTGCAGCAACCCGTGCAAATACACTTACAAAGCAGTACTATACAGCCAGGCCATCAAATACCCTTGGGATTATTCTGAGGACAATATTCAGAATACCCATCCAAATAATCTAAAGAAAGTTTTTCCCCCAAAAGGGATATTTTTTCTAAAGACGCAGATCAGCCTTGACAGCGTTATTTGAGTACTGTTTAAGAACTTATTTCACAATGAAGAAAAACCCCATTGTCTCACCCTCTCTTCCCCTGGAACTGATAACGGGAAGTTATGAAAAAGGTTCAATCCATACTAAAATGACGGTCTACCTTGAAAAAAATCTTGTCAGAGGCAGTCCTACTTACCTTTGCTGAAAGCACAATGCTGTTGCTAAAGTAATTGCCAAAAATTACATTCTAAAATGCGGCCCAAAACGCACCGAACGGATCTACAACTATACTGAAGAATAAAAAATAAAACCTGCAATGACCAGCGGACTATGTATCACCCAGAAGAGAATCAGCAAAACGCCCACATCCTACATCAACACTTCCCAGTTACAATAAACTTCATCCAGTCCATCAAATGCCCTAATGAGAAACATAGAGATTAAACTAAGCAATCGTTAGGCACAGGAAAGAATTTGCAGACCAGCAAATTAAGACAAACATCCCGTTCCCAATGAAATAACATTTCTTATATCTTTCCCTTTCTGATCTCTCGGTCCTGAACCTAAGAAAGAGCTATAAAATACCTTCAAAAATAGAAGGGGGAAACTAAAATTCTTAAGTCTGCTGAGCACCAAAAGTCATGAAAGTCGTGGCACATCAACCTCCCTCCCCCAGAAATTCTTTCCTTCGGGAGAAATCCGCTTCTTTTTCTTCTCCCAACTCCTCCAGAAGTGCTTTACTTTCAGAGATGATCTAACTTACAGGTAATTAACTTCTCACGTGTCTTCAGCTCCTAAGTTTGCTGCTTCTGTTTCAGGCTTAAAGAATGATCAAAAAGTAAAAATCTCATCTCTTTCCTACACAAACATGACAGCCTTGGGAAATACCTCTTCCTATGAGCCCTGCCTCGCTTGTGTCCTTAGAAAATCATAGTTATAACGACATTATCACTATTCAAAAACACCGATGTTTCTACATGGTAAGTCTGTGGAGGAATGGACAGATAATTTTAGTGCCGCTGCCACTGATAAGGCAATTAGGCGTAGTGTGTGGTCAACCACATCAAAACAAGAGCAGCCAATTGCATACAGAGCTTTCCCTTTTAGTTTTGCTTTGATGATTTTAAGTGGTTAAGTTGCTTCTCAGGTGATGGAGAAAAAAAATTTTGGCACGTAAATCTCTTCCACGCCCCAGCCTCACCGCTGAATCACAGCATTTCAAATTTAAGGAAAAAAAATATCTGTCCGCAAAGAAGTAAGAAGCGACAGAAAGTCCAAGCCAATACGGTGATCCCAGAGTAGACACATCACTAAAAACGGTGAAAGAACAAGACACGTCTCAAAGGAAGAATAAGACCATCTCTCCGTTTCATTCAGGTGGTTTTGCCCAGTCATGGGAAGACTGTTTGCCAAGATGGCGCAGAAAGGAAACGAACAGAGTTGTCAACACTGATCGTTGCATTTTGAAAAAGACCGGGAAGAAAATATGTGAACAACATTGGAGATAATTAAAAATCAGAGAGGAAAGGGGAAAAAAGGACGTTACCTGCAGGAACATAATCTCTCGAAAGGTTCTCTAGAAATAAACAAAAAAAGTTTATTATCACCTCAACAGAATGACAGAGTACGGACTTCCAATCAGAGGGTTAAACCCGTTCCAGTCTCTAAAGCAGAGGAAACAGATGGTAGATGGGCTAGGAAGAGCTCAGTTGCTCCCTCTGTGCTTAGACACCATAGCGTGACAACGTAAGGGAGAACAAAATTGTGCGTGCCTGTGAAGACACTTTTTCCTCAGGGATATCAAACAGTATTTTGTAGGCGCCGCCATACACAAGGCTTGACATTTATTGCTCCTTTTCATCCTAATACAGCTGTACACTGTATTATTACTTGCGTAATAATTGCAAGTTGTCAAATAACTCACATCTTTCAGAGACATAAATCCTGAAAATATCTATGCACTCCCACCACGTCTTTCAGGACACGTTAGAACAATGATTTCTCACCTGTGCGTCTGTTCTGTTCCTGAAAGCATCAAAAATCTTTTTAACAGCAACTATTTTTCCTGTCCTGCGATCGATTGCTTTCCAGACAATGCCATAAGCCTAGGGAGGAAAAAGGACAGATGAACAGCGCGCTATGACGTCTTAAGCACAGTTCAGACCTTCAGGGTGGAAATAGAACACACTTAACAGAGGGACTGAAAGAAGAGGTCATCACCAGCGACCTAGAAGAAACAGAGATTAGGCCAATGAGCAATATTTGGTTGAGTCAAGGACTAAGGACATCTATACTGAGTCCGACCAAAGGTCCACAAGGCCAAGCACCCTGGTCCCTAAAGCAGCCAACAGCAGATGTACGTGCTCGTGAAGTGCAAGGTCCCGCACCCGGGTTAGGGTAACCCCCAGTATCAGCACAGGACGAGGATGAAGGGGTGGAGAGCAGCCCTGCCGAGAAGGACTTGGGGGTACTGGTAGATGAAAAGCTGGACGCGAGCTGCCAACGTGCGCTGGCAGCCCAAAAAAGCGTCCCGGGCTGCATCCCCAGCAGCGTGGTCGGCGGGGCGAGGGGGGGATTGTGCCCCTCTGCTCTGCTCTGGGGAGACCCCCCTGCAGTGCTGCCTCCAGCTCGGGGGGTCCCAGCACAAGGAAGACATGGACCAGTTAGAGCGGGTGCAGAGGAGGGACATGAAAATGGTCCAAGGGCTGGAAGACTTCTCCTACGAAGAATGGCTGAGAGAGTTGGGGTTGTTCAGCCTGGAGAAGAGAAGACTCCAGTGAGAACTTATTTTGGCCTTTTAAAGCTTAAAGGGGACTTATAAGAAATCTGGAGAGAAACTTGTTACCTGTAGCGTCAGTATCCTAGAATCATTTCGGTTGGAAAAGACCTTTAAGATCACGTTCGACTCTTAACTTTCCACTGCCAAGTCCATCACTAAACCATGGCCCTAAGCACCATGCCTACGCATCTTTTCAATACCTCCGGGGACGGTGACTTGGCCACTTCCCTGGGCAGACTGTTCCAACGCTTGACAACCCTTTAAATGAAGAAATTTTTTCCTAATATCCAAGCTAAACCTCTCCCGGAACAACTTGAGGCTGTTTCCTCTCATCCTATCACTTGTTACTTGGGAAAAGAGAAAAGAGACATCCCAATTGCAAACAGTATAGTACGACAGCACTTATCTGAGATACTCCAACTGTTTCCACCTCCTGATGCACAGCAAAGGACCTGAACCCATACTCCAGGACCACACATATTTTTGGGAAGCATGCTTCAATGTCTCCGAGTATTTAAGCATGGCAATCGCTCACTACCACATATCGCAGCTGTTTTACTTCTTTGTATGAGTATTTAAATGTTTATTGGGCATTTCGGAGTGAGAAATGACCCAAATTGTGCAGATGTAAGACATGTCCCAGAACGCGGAAAGTTAAGGTTCAAATCTATGACCTAAAAATAAGAAAACTGGATCTGTACCACAAGGGAGGCTGAGTAATCACCGTTTGCAAGTATCACATGGTCATCGAGAACAGGGAAAACTCAGGTAGAAGTTTCCGCTCCCTTAGGAGATAACACAGCTTTTAATTAAAAAAAAAAATAAAAGATAACGGTTTGATTTCTGTCACTGTACAGGAACAGCTTATCTCCCTTGCTGCTGCACTCCTCTGCTCTATTTTTTAGGCAGACCTCATCCGTTTCAGGAACTCCAACAGCTTTTGAAGTGCCTAGGTAAGTACATCAGCTGTGTACATACACAATACATACAGAACCTTCTGCATCCAAGAGGCAGAAAACACAGGTATTTAGGAGACTGGAACTACTTGACTGAAGAGCTCAACTAGTACTTTTGATAACGTCAGGGATACCTAGATGATGTACCTGAAGCCACTGAAGTCCTTTAAATACCTGCGTGTATTTAGTCAGGTTTGTGGAAGAGTCTCTAAACAGAACCCTCTAACAATCTGATATTTCAGATGAAAGAATAATGTCATGCTGTTTGAATAACCTAGCGCGTTAAAAGCTGTAATATATTACATTCAGTCAAAGGGAGAAAGCTGGTAACTAGTAACAAGAGGGCAGCAAACCTCAAGTCAGAGGCGAACTCGGAACGAAATACAGCCATAAGAAAGATCAGTGTGAATTCAAAAGGAGGAAGACAAAACATGGTCTTAGAGGATAACGAAGAAAATGAGTCTCTCTCAAGTGCCCCCTTGTCATCACACGACTCAACTACTACTATCGACACAACTAACCAGTGGCAAAGAGCAGCCAGAAGAGAAACGCAGATACTCAGGAAAGGTTTGGAGACTACCAGATCTTAGAAATTAAGTGGGCTCACATATAAAAAGACGTAATTTCATGGGGGAAAAAATCACCTGATGTGGCAAAATACTTGAAGTAATGGGGCTACATGAAACGTGAAAGAATTAGGCAGGCAAAACCAGAATATTCTTTGAGACTCCGATTCATTTTACTGTAAACCAGGTGTACATGAGAGGTTGGTGCTTTGTGGGGTTGTTCTCTAGTAAGTTACAGGGAAAAAAAAAAAACCTCGTGGAGAATTTAAAGGTATGTTCAGTTTCACACGGTACAACATAATACCTTCCTCTGAAAATTAGTTGTGGAAACAGCTATAAGAATCACAGAATTTTCAGAGCTGGAAGGGACCTCCAGAGCTCACCCAGTCCCACCCCCCTGCTAAAGCAGGACTGCCCAGAGCACATCGCTCAGGACTGCATCCAGGCGGGTCTTGAAAACCTCCGGAGAAGGGACTCCCCCACCCCCTGGGCAGCCTGTGCCAGCGCTCTGTCACCCCAACCGTAAAGAAGTTCTTCCCTCTGTTGGAACGGAACTTCCTCTGCTCCAACTTGTGCCCACTGCCCCTCGTCCTGTCACTGGGAACCACCGAGAAGAGTCTGGCTCCATCCTCCTCCAACCCCCCCTTTAGATACATGTATGCCATAATAAGGTCTCCCCTCAGCCTTCTCCTCTCCAGGCTAAAGAGTCCCAGCGCTCTCAGCCTCTCCTCATACGGGAGATGCTCCAATCCCTCAGTCATCTTGGTTGCCCTTCGCTGGACTCTCTCCAGCAGTTCCCTGTCCCTCTTGAACAGGGGAGCCCAAAACCGGACACAGTATTCCAGTTGTGGCCTCACCAGTGCCGAGTAGAGGGGGAGAATGACCTCCCTCCACCTACTGGTCACACTCTTCCCTACGCAGCCCAGGATTCCGTTGGCCTTTTTGGCGACGAGGGCACACTGCTGGCTCATGGACAATTTACTATCTACCAGGACGCCCAAAGAAGTGACAGGAAGTTATCGGGCCATGATTTATGATTATTTTTTCCCTCCTATTCGGCGTAATAAATATTTCATAGCCCAGTTTCGCTTCAACTATACAAACTGTTGGCACCTCCAGCACCGACGGCGGCTCGGCTCAGCGCCCGGCGGCGGGGACCGGGAGGCCGCAGACACAGCCGCCGCCGGGACGGCCTCAGGCCCC